AGTTCAGCCGCCATGCCAATTTGTATTGCGCAGGAATGCAATTCATTCGTTAATGATACCAGGCCAGGAAACTTGTCCTAGGTTGAAGATACGGACAGTTTCTATAAGTTTAAGCAGGATTTCATGGGACGTTTACAACAGTGAAGGGAAGGGAAAGGAGAAGTAATGAACGGAGAGAAGATAACCACTACGACTACCTTTATTTGGCCAATGCAGCATGAGGCTTAGATTTTTAAAAACTATTAAACTGTAGGCGGAAAAATAATAACAGATCCTAACCAATGGATAATAAAAATATATATTAGACTCCATAATACTAAATGGTATTCTACTTAGGTCGCATACAGTGTAAACTGGATAGAACTCCCGACTTTAGAAAAGCTCAAAGGATAAAATGCGCAGAGAAATGCGTGCACAAGCGCTTGTGCTACTCATTCCCTTCAAGAGTCTCAGAAGTCAAAAAGAAGCACAGCAGAGTACATTCCCTAGTCTAAAATTGGTAGTAATGTTAGCTCTGTCTTGAGTACAAACATAACTGTCTGAGGAATCCTCCAAACAAGCGTAAATACTCAACTCCTATAAGTGAGAATCATGGACTTTGGTCAAACAAATATAAGACAAGCAGAGGTTGGGAGAGCTCAAGAGACTTCAAAAGACATTAGGTGATGTAGGCTGGAGAAAAATAGTATAACTAGAAACATGATTATATTGGTTTAACTTTGTTTTTGCAACTCGGTCATATTGCAAGAGACCCAGATGATCAAACCTTTTCCAGAGTCTATAGTATCCATGATAATTTCCATCATCGGACCGTGGACTTAGTACATTTTCAGACATTTCGCCGGCATTGTCAGTTCATAGCACCACATAACGACTCATCAAAAGAACAAGTGAAGTCGATCCTTTAACCAATTGTCTCTCCTATCCTATATCCTTGTATCATCCCTGCACTATCATAATTTAAACCTAATTCAGATACTAAGTCCATGGCCCGACACAGGAAATTATCATGAATGCTAGGGACTCCGGACAAGAGGCGTCCCTCCAGGTCTTTCTGACAGTACGACCAAGTTGAAGAAACAAGATCAAACCACGTCTATGCGATGAAAGGAGACTGCTATTATAATAAATATTGCATAAACTTGCTCTTCATAGGTTGGATTAAAATATGCTAGTCTGAAAATTTTTGATTTAGAGCGAAGGAATTAGACTTGAAATGGAGTAGGCGAGAGAGGGATTTATAAGAGAGAAAAGAGTATATTTACATGTACGAGCCACGAGCTTTCTTCCGGCCCTTACTCTGACTTTACTAAATTACAAATATAGGAACCGAAAGGCTAGAAGCCGTAATCATACCACAATGTAGATTGTGAATTAAATCAAGGTTAGTAAACACAAGAACGAAAGAGATAAACTTTCTAAGAATCAAGGAATACAAATTACTTGCTAATTAAGCCAATGAATCATAGATTGACAAGGACAGATGCATTTGAATAAGTGGCATCCAGTGGGTGTGGAGGAAACTCATTTGCTAGCGGGTAAAATTCGTCGATAGTAAATAAAGATTTCGAAGAGCAAAATTTTTGAATAAAATTGCATTTGAAATTTTAAAGTAATATTACATAATCATAAAATAACCTCTTTAATTAAGATAAGGGCTTTCCAAATAGGTTTCTTTCCTTTTAAAAGAACTTATTTGTAAACATATTTGAAGACAATCCAATCCGAAAAACTAAATTAAATATAAAAAAGGAGTAACGTTAAAACGATTCTATACTTATCACTTAAGTTATTGAAAGAAATAGGTGATGAGAAGCAACTGGAGTCCGAGATGAAGAGAGCTATGCAAAGATTCAGATTCCATGCGATTAGAAAGTTTCTAATAGGATTTTAGTATGTGTGCATTGTTCAGATAAAAACAAAAACATACGAGTCTCCGGATTTGCACGTTTTAATCCTAAATAACATCAAGGAAAGTTAAAGAGATGAAGAGAGACAAAGTAAGCATTGATCAGTGTCAGTCTAAGGTATGAATACAAATAAACTGAAGAGAATAAGTCTTAAGCTTGCAGGCAAAAGCTAAGCGTAAATATGCAAATAAAGCAACTAGTAGGACCATATGAGGGAACTTTAAGACTAACATGAAAAATACGTGGGACCTCACAAAACTAATACATTAAAATTTAACGTACAGATGAACCAATTGAATAGTGGTCAATTGAGGCAAGATGAAGAATGTTGTAACATATGAGGAATAGCTGGATTGTGATATAGCTCCTGAGATATCACTCCTAGGCTGACTGTAATAAGAAGATTCGTTAGGCATCGGATTCGCCTCCACTGCCGGAACTTAAGACTTTTAGGCTGCTGCAGCTTTGAAGGCGCCCTTCTTCGTTTTCGGTGAATAGGTACTGAAGTTTTAACTACCTTCACTCAGGGCTGATTGAAGCTTATATAGGAATGGTGACCAGCTATAGCAAGAGACCTCAGCACATTTTCAGAAACCAGATGAATTATCGGAGATCACGAGTCTGAGCATTCCAAAAAGATTCGGAACAGCAGATCACTGCAGTCTTCTAGTGAGATACGACTACGAATCTGTTAATCACATTTTCGAACAAAATTAAGGCCAGCCAAATGATAAAAGTTCCTCATTAAAATGATTGGATTCAGAAAGTTATAAAACGAACCAGTGAGGTGTAAGGTGATTATTAGCAAGGAGGGTTGTGATCAAATAAACTTGAGGCCGAAAAAAAGTTCTGCATAAGATTGATATTCCCCAGAGGCCTGGAAAGCACTACCAGAAAAGAGAGTCATTTAGTTTGGGACGAATATATGCTTATTCGTCGAGGTAGTGTTCGTCTCTGAACTCACACATCCACAGTTCAAATCCCCCAAAAGGTACCGGTGGGACCAATACGAAGTCGAAAAGTGAGTAATAACAAAAAATTAAGCCTCTCCATTATTGTATTGTTGGGATAATAGTTATCATCTAATAAATCATATGAAAGTAGTGCATCGTGTCAAGGAAAAAATCAGTTATTATAGAAAAAACGGGTCCGTAAAACTACTTACATAGCTCGTCTCTGTCTAGTGATGAACCCGCAGGACCTCCAAAAAGGTTTTTAAAGAAACCCTTTTTGGGAGGTTCAGGCATTGAGCAAGGTGTAAAGAGGCTACCCTCAAGTTCTTTGGCATAGGAACTAAATATAGGTTAAAAAGACGAAGGCGAAATCAAAATAGAAGGAGCAGTAAGTAGTTGAAATACAAAAGCCAATTTTAATAGTACACATAAACATTAGTTTTAAGCTGAAAAGTTCAATTAGCTAATGTAAGACATGTATGCGCGAATGCATGTGTAGAGTAGAGTAGAGCAGAGCAGAGCTGATTTTACGGCCATCATTACTATTACTGCTGCTTTATGTATGAGATCCCCAACAAGCAATGTACGTACTACATCTGCACATGGGCATGTGGCCAAGCTTATTCTTAGATATGAACTCTATGTTTCCTCCAGATACCTTGATCTGAGCACTTTTTCGTTTTGTTGTTTATAACTGCCTTTAGGCTTCAGCCTCACTAAGCTTGCAGATACTCTCGCTAACAAACTTGTCTGCAGGATTGCTATGCTTTATAACAAATACATTCAGCACTTGTGAGCAAAAAGCTTTGCCATGTCATACTGTAGACAAAACCAAAAAATGTCTGAGCATAACGCATAGCTTTCGAATAGCTGGAAATCTAGATATTAGCATGATACATTTCGAACCGCTTAAAACTGCTTCTTCTAGAAACGGAAAATACCTGATATACATAATCGGTCGTGACTCATTAAAACAAAAGCCGCAAGCAACTTAGATCGTATAAGATGAAGGATTGACAATTAAATTTTACTGTCTAGTGCTACCTAGATCGATATCTCCGGATAGCACCAAACCCTACTCATTATGAATATAAGAACTCACTAAAGATCAGCTGATAAAGTGACTTTGGCTATCTCACAGGGCGATAGACGACAAACCAATTGACCCCATCGGCCGAAGGCGATGAATGATCCCAACGAGAATGGCACCAGAACTAAGGGGCTAGAAGAAGATCCACCGCTGATACCAGTGTTTGAAGTGATCGATCCAGGACAGATGAGCTGGCCAACCAAATCGACATCAACCAAGCAGCGTAGGCTTGGAAGAGAGAACAGTAAGAGGTGGCCGTTGGCAAGGTAGCAAGCAAGAAAACTCCGGGTGGAGGATGAAAAATCGGCAGATGAAGAAACGATAGTGGAAGTGGAGGCAGAAGAAGCAGATAAGAGTGCAGATGGGATGCTCAAGCTAGCTGCTAAACAGGAGGTAGGATGAATGGAGAGAAATAACAGATAAAACTAGAATATATGAGTAAAAATCACAAAAATGGAGGAAAATCGAGACTACTTCAGCCAGTAATATGAAAAATCTCTAAGAGAATAAATTGTATTACATGGAAATACCAAAAATGACAGTGTTTCTTAAGTTCAGTGAGCAAAAAAATCACATTAAAAGTAAATCAATTGTCTCTCACAAATACAAATAGAATAAACATACTATTCACAATAGACAATAATTCTTCCCATAAAATAGTTTAGCTCGACTGTTTTCATTAAGGAAAAAAATCAGGAGTCACCTGAAGACAAGTATCCGGAAGAAGAGTTGCAAGCAGGGCTACCGGTACCAGTGCCGCTATTTGGCTTCAACCGCAACACCTCAGCTTGTAAGACACTGCTTGTCTCTGTGACCTTGGCTTTGGCAAAACAGGTTTGTGACGGCAATGAGAGCACATAAGCCTGTTTATCCATGCAGATGACCACAAGTTGACGATCGTTATCAGCGCTAGTCACTTGGGGGTGTTCGCTAGAACCAGATGAAGATTCGCAGTTTGCACCGGTCAGTGATGCAACTGAAGCCCAGGGAATAAGCAAAGGACCAAGAAGAGGTAATGAGGTAAGTTCAAACTGGAGCCCAAAACATTTAGTCGTCGTGATGAGCTTAAGATAAGCCCTATTAATTTTATTGAGAGTGAGGTTTCAAAACTAACAGTAAATATTAAATAAAAGTTCTCTGCACCCGAGAAAGCATAGGGTGATGAAGGAATGGTAGCTGAATTTTGTCACAATCATGTGTAGGCCGTATATTTCAAATAGATTTCACTTAGGTTAGTCTACTAAAGGGTATTCCTATTCAGGGTGTGCTTCAGTTTCGACCTCGCACAAATACCATCCAGAGGGAATCGAACCTGGGTAGTGCAGCATAAAATCTAAACATGTACCACCACGCAACACTGCAACAAAAAGCAGACGAGAAGTTCAAGGCTAGGCCTCTTTCATATCACATTTATAATGATATTGTTAAGGAAGCTTTAATTTGTCATTATATCTCTGATTATTTATATGAGATGTATTCTATTTCATTTGAGGTGGCCTCGGAATCCTACTTATAATAGGAAAATACACTGTTTATAGTCGGATAGAGTAGGTGTTGAAATCACTTGTAAATCTCAATAAGTTCCAATAATCATAGTAATTGTAGCCAGTAAAATAACAGAAAATAATAAAAAATCTGATGATGATATTTTACCAATAAGGTATAAATACGAACATTTTCATCTAAGTATAGATTCAATATGCATAAAGCTAGTGGCCTTCATAAAATCATAAGGCAACTTATCAAAAAATGAAATTCAACAGAAAAAAATTTCTGATACTCGTCGCCAAATAATATTGAACTTTACAAAGGCTTTCATTTCATTTAAAAATATTAAGAGCCATTAAAAAGATCTTTAAAATTTCTGACAAAAGATTTTCTACAAGGTTGAATTGATCCATCAGGATACTCATTTCATCGC